GGGGGGGAAAGGCCGGAAAAGACGGACGAAGATGCGCCTGCGAGATAAGGGGTGATACAAGCGGTCGGAGGCGGACAGTGGAGATATCTGAGCAAAGCATATAAAAAAAGGAGCGGCATTGCAGGCCGATAAAGACAAGGTTGACCTCCCAGTGAAGAGGTTGGGGCTTTAGGATGGGCCGAAATGCCCCTTGGCAGCAGCTAGAAAAATCTGGATGGCAAACAGGGCAGACGAAGAAGGAGGGTGAACAGCCAGACAAATGCCACCCCCCCTCACGTCTTTCCCCCCCCCAAAGCTTTCAAACCTCTTTCAAGCCAGGTAAACGAGCAGAGAAGGAGGAGGAAAATACAGGTCCTCCTTGGACTTACGACCCTCCCAGATTTCCGTTGCTAAGCGGGACAGTGGTGGAGTTTTTGCCCCCTTTTGTGACCTTTCTGGCCGCCGTCATTAAAGGAGTCCCTGTAGTTATTTGTCCGATGCTTGTTAAGTGAGTCAGGATCCCCCGTTGGCTTTGCTCATCTGAAGGGGGCCAAAGGGGATCCTGTGACAAGCACACACCTCCCTGGGACCCTGCGACCGTCACAAGGATGAATCCACTGCCAAGTGGGTGAATTTTGATCCCGTGACTAACGGGATACCGCGACGGTACAAGAAACGGTCATAAGTCACCCTTTTTTTAAGTGCCATTGTAACTCTGAATGGTCGTAAGCCAAGGACCCCCTGTATTATAAATCCCCTTCTGCTCAGAGATCCTATCGTTTTTAGCATCAAATCTCTTCCAGGCGGGGGAAAAAAAATGCCGTTTTCCCTCTCCTAACTTCCCTGGTCAGGTTGATGTCTCTGCGAGGTGGCTCAAATGGCTAATGCGAACTTTTTAAAAAAAAATCTTTCCGAAATATCCAAAGGGCGAATGGGTGGGGAAATCTCCCCCTTCGTTCAAGCCTGCCGTGTTGTTGTGCGTCTGTTAAGTACAGACAGACCTTCCGTGGCTTAACAACATTGAATGACATGCGCTATAAATCCGGAAGGAGTCGCTTGAAAAATAAAAATAAAATAAAAACCAGACCTCCTTCCTAAAAGTTTCTCAGTGCAAACCCCTAAAAACCATGAGGTGTACAGTTGTGATATATCTACCGGTTTAAAAAAAAGAAAACCGAGTTTACAACCCCTCCCGAAATCTGATACTATAACGTTGGAAAAACGAGAAAACGATTCCAGTCTAAAGGCAGGGAGGGGAATTCATAAATAAATAAATAAACAACAACAATCTGAAAAGGCCTGGGAAGAATTTGGACGTAGCTTCTTTTTATTTTCGGTTTTAGGCTGAGGAAATATCGCCACTTCCCAGGTGTTCCGAATCATACGGCAGGTCCTGCCTTCAGAAGGTCGTGCCCAAGTCGTGCTCCCTTCCTTCCGAAGGGGCAGAATCCCGTGCCTGTTAAGACTTGTTTTTAAAAAATTTCCTGAATTAGTGCAATCCGTCAACTTCCAAACTCTTATTTAAAAAATAAAAAGCCTTTAATTAGAACCAGCCTCGATAAAATCACCAATCCAGCAGTGTGTGCATTGCACCCGTAGCTTTATATCGCCACCGTTGAAGCCGTCCAACGTGACTCGGCCCTGGGGCTGTGGCTTCTGCTTGTGGGTCTCCGAGTCCTTCCAGACTCCAGAAATGAATCAAGTGTGGTTGCGGGTTGTAAAGTAGTGATAGTTGTCGATGTCCCCTTCCTCGTGTCCGGTCTACGTGAGCACAATCTGCTCTCCTGCTGCTGCTCCCAACGGTACCGGTGGGTTTACTTGGATGATGTGTCTTCTCGTCTTTGATGGACGGCTACGAAGAAGCTGGACAGGCACGTATTTACAATCTCTAACCCTGGATAAAGAGCCGGAAAATGGTGGATCTTTGAAGATGAGGCAGCTTGAAGTCTCAGGGGCAGAAGGTGGCTCCTGTTCTCGGCCTCCCCGGTTGCTCTCCACGTACCCAACGTCCCTGCCATGTTTTGTGAGTGGTGGGGGGGAAGGAAACCCAAATTGCTTGGTTGCTCCTGGCCAGGTCACTGCCGCCCCACCGGCAATAAGTAGCACCATATTTGCCCACGAGCCCCACGCCACTGGCCATGCCGTGGCCCCTGCTTCCGCCACCCGGGCAAGTGCAGCCGGCCATCATCGCGCCTCGGACGCCTCTACTTCTGACCCAAGTTCCCCGGTTCGAGCCTTGGGAGTGTGCTTCGGCCCCAGCAGCCCGTGGCGAGACTCATGCTCCGTTGGCTGCGTTCTCGGTCCCTTTCCCGGTCACTTTCGGAGTGGCTTTGTGTCCACTCTGGACGGTAACTGGCACTCTGGCCAGAGGACACGGTGGGCTGGGAGGAGATAGTTCGCAACAGGTGGTTCCTCTTGCGCAGGAATTCGGTTTGGCCTGGGAGTCCGAAGCTGCCCTTCCGGAGAGCCATTCGCGTGGTGTTCTTGGCAGGCCGAGAGCGATGAGTGTACTCCAGCTGAGCCAGATGGGACGCGTAGCCTTCTGTGATGAACTGCAGGACAAGAGACACCAAAAATTCCTTACTTTGGGAGAGGACTCAGGGTGGTGCCCTTGGCTTAAGGTCAAAGAACTTCTCTTTCAGAGGACCTACCAACAGATCGGTTTCCCGGCCCCTTTCCCTCCCCTACTTCACTCTACCACCGTCATCAAAGTCTTGTCCTTCCCTGCTTTTCCTCTTCCCATATCTGGTGAGCACAATCCTGTTTTGCCCTTTGAGGTAGTTGGGAGAAGAAGCATTTTCCTTCTCCTTTCCTACATCCCTTCCAAAATGCTTCCCACCGGGGTGGGTTTCTACCGGTTCTGTCCACCTCTGTAGAACCGGTAGCTCTGAAGAGCAGCAGACATAGAAAGGAAGGGAAAAAAAAACTCCAGAGAAGTTCTAGAGACAGGAAGTCTAGTCCTGCCAAGAATGTAATAAGGGTTAACGGAGAGGCAGTTTCTGTAAGCAACACCAGAATGTTTCCTTCCTGCCTTCCTTACAGGATTAGACCAGCAATTTCTTCTAACAACCGGTTCTCCGAACTGCTTAGAATGTTAACAACAGGTTCTAGCGAATAGGTGCGAACTGGTAGAAACCCACCCCTGGCTCATACCCTTGCAGTTGGTATCTGGAAGAAAACCAGGATTGGTTCTACGTACTGGCCCAAGCAGCTGAACATGTATATCTGGTCAGCTTGCAACCTCTGGGCGTTTCCAACCCAACCTGCTTCGTTGTTCTGGCTTAGGCTCCAAAGCTAAGCCTGATCTTTGGAACATCTTTCCAAAAGTTCCTCAATCCAACAGAGCTAAGGTGAGTTTGCTAACGTTGCTCCTTTCTTCTACAAGATGCTTCCCTGAGATTTATTGACCGTGGAAAGCAAGCTGGACCCCTTACAATAAAAGGTTCTCACTTGGCATTGGTTCTGTAACTTTTTGGTAGGCCGCCCGACAATGTAGATCTGTGAAGGGGACAGGTTGATGGAGGTGTAGACGGAGACATCCTTGGTGGATCCATAGGCCGCATGGATCTTCATGTCCAGCTAGAAGAAGAAGAAAAAGTCAATCTGTCAACTCATAAAATATTCCTGTGGTCTTTTAGAGTTGCCAACGGACAGGGAGGGGGGGAGCAGTGGGCAGGTTGCATTCCATAAATGTTTTCAAAGATAGTAACTAGGTGACTGAAGTTTCTGCTGGGCAAAATTCTAACTGGAGAACAGGATGGATGACTCTGGGCTATGGAGGCGTCCCATTGGAGAATATGAATTATGACACACCCAGGGGGTGGGGGAAAACCAGGGTCAAGGCTGACAGTGAATGATGTGCCTCAGAGTCGGCTATACCCAGGCAGCGCTGGACATGTTAACTCCCAATAAATCCTTTTGAAGTTTTGGAAGTGTCAACTCAGAAAACATTTTGTATACGTGTTTTATAGTTGACAACAGAAGGGAGGGGGGTAGTTTCAAAGAGCAGGCAACAGTTTGAAATCGAAAGTACATTCCATTCATATTTTCTTCAAAGACTGATTAGATGGCTGAACTATATAGAATATATAAAGATGTATTGTTATATTATAATTATGGGATGGATTTAGGATGATAATATGAATCGTTATAAATCAATTTAAAAATATGGAATATCTCGCATAACGTGAATAAATAATCATATAGTCAAATGATTGACTAACAAAGATAAATGTATTTAGAAATATCTGTTTGATAATGTGAGAATATATACAACAATTGTAAGTGAGGACTATGGAGAAGTTTGTAACCAACCGACACACTATATGTATGTAATTGGAAGATGGCTTTACGTTTTCATGTTTTGTTTGTGTATGTCTAAAAATAAAAAAAAATTCTTTGGAAAAAAAAAAAGAAATTTTGGGCTTGATTGTGGTCATAAGCAGAGGACTACCTGTACTAAGAAACCGATTCAAAGAAGTGACGGATGGAAACCAGATCTCCTGCCCACCACAGACAGCTACACAGCCCATCGTGGGTGGTTAAAAAATGTGGAAAAAATATAAGGGCAAGAGAAAGATGTGCAAGAATGTGAATCTTTATAAACAGGACTCATGTTTGATACTCAGCAATCTCTGGAATTTTATTTTATTTTTCCTCGTAAGGACTTGTTAACTTTCCTGCAATATAATTTCTGATCAGAAGGTCCCAGATTCTCAAAGGCGCTTTTAAGGGGACCTGGCCCAGCCTGACCGCATCTGCTTTAACCCCACTGCGAATTCTGCTTACGTCTGTGACGAGAGACTTCAGGAAGTTGGCTTTGTGCCTCAAGGGATCATGAACCAGCCCGTCGCAGAAGGAGACAATCCCGTGGGGAAAGTTGTGCTGTGCTAACCAGGCGACCACTCTCTGCTTCTGCATGTCGGGCCGGCCCGTGACGTAGATAATGAGGTAGCCAAGCTCTTGCCAGTGCCTAAGGATGGGGGAAACGAGAAAGATGGATGAGCGGAGAGAGCGAGAGGCAGTGTGAATATAAGCGTGGAAAAGGGTCTCTTGTTTTCAACTGGGAAAAAAAAAACAAGTTCCTGCTATTCTTATAGTATCCCATAAGGAGCATGGCGGCTCAGGTGGTTAGAACAACGGCTTGAAAATCAGCCAGCGTTCGAGACCCACGTGCTGATGTTGGGATGGGGTGAGCTCCCATCCTTCGCTCCAGCTCCTAGCAGTTTGAAAGCACGCAAATGTAAGTAGATAAATAGGTACCACTTCGGTGGGCTCACTATGGGGATGTGCAACTGGGTGTTTCCAGGGCAACGGTGACGTCACTGGCTAATCCTTTCAACCCGCAAGTGCCTTGGAGCTTCCGACAGGAAACCAACAGCATGAAAATCCCATTCTTCAGTACAACTTCCCAGTCCTAACGCTCCCCACCGCCGCTGACCCCACCTACCGTACGACATCAACTGCTCCAGCTCTGACTTTTGGGTCGCTGCCCATAATGGAGACGCTGGCTGCGAAGGAGCCGTCAATGCTGAAGACCACGAATTCGGTCCCCCGCGGTAAAACGGTGATGTAGCTATCTGCGTATGTGTGATCCCCCCTAAGGAGAAAGAAACAAGGAAGTGAATCTTGATTTCATGATACAGGTACGGTAGTCCTCAGTGCATTTTTTTCCCCTAGTCTTCTGGGGAAAGTTAAATTGTATTAATGCCTATTTTAGGGATCTATGCTGTCCTTCCAGATTAAGGTCAACAGCGTGCTTGCCATTTTTCAACGTTGTTAGTCAGAAGGGGGAACATGAAGACAGAAGTTAAGTTCAGAAGCTGTTTTAGCCGAACAGGTACATCAATCTTGGCTGAGAGACTGAATAGATTATTTTTTTCCTTAAATTTAAGCGGTCGTAATTATGCGTCAGCCTTCAAAGGGGGAAAACAGGACAGGAATCTAAAAGATAAGCAATCGCTCTCTGCCTTGGATTAAGGATGAAGATGCCAATAGAAGGATTATTTATTGGCCAAGTGTGGTTGGACACACAAGGAATTTGTCTTGGTGCAAATACTCTCAGTGTACATAAAAGAAAAGATACATTCATCAAGAATCATAATCATAGCTCACCCACAATCAGGTGGCCTCAGTTGCCACATCTGCATTTTTCAAGCTGTGCCCATTTTTCCTACCTACTGCTCCACGGCTGTGCCATTCCCTGGCAAATCTCTGTGCACAAGAACGTACCTCACCACCATTTTGACAGGATAGACCCCGATCCCCAGCCGTCTCTGCTCAGGAATCATGTAGGAAACGCGCCCACTGCTGTTGGCGATCTCCGTGTCAAAATAAACCCATTCCCCTGAGGGAGGCTGGGTCATGATGTGAATGTCCACCTGAAGCACAAAGAAGAAGACATCTGGAATCTCAGCACCATCTGAGTTCGAATCCCAGGGTCGTGCAGACTACCTTGGGTGAACCTACTGCAGTCATTAATGGGTTTATACTGGGGAGGGTGAGAAAACATGAACATCCCCCTACAATAGAATTCACTTCACTTTCTTTCTGGTTATAAGGCTGCTCATTCGTCTTTCTAATGTGGCTCGACTTAGCTCCAGTTCCATTTTGGCGGGCTGAGGGCTCTGGATCTATGTTTCTCTACCTTGGCAGCTTGAAGGTAGGTAGACTTCAACTCCCAGAATTCCTCATCTGGTAGAGCTAGCTGGTGGTTTCTGGGAGTTGAAGTTCATACATTTTGACTACATTTCACCTAAGGCTGCGTACTGATCTTGCTGACGTGGCTCTACTTAGCTCTGACTTCCATTCTGGTTGATGGAGAGATCTAGAACGGCATTCAACTTCGGCAGCTTTAAGATAGGTGGACTTCCAACTCCCAGACCGCTGTGATTGAGATTGAGAGCTCTATGTTTCTCAACTTTAAGACAGGTGGACCCCCCAAGGAGGTTGGGGAGGGGGAACCCAACCTGGAGGACCTCTACAACATACCAATCCTTTCATTTTAGAAGTCTACAAATGCTACCGCTACAGAATAGAATTGAATTGAACTGAATAATTTATTGGCCAAGTGTGATTGGACACACAAGGAATTTGTCTTTGGTGCAAATGCTCTCAGTCTACATAAAAGAAAAGATACATTCGTCAGGAGTCAATTACAGTTGGGACATGCGATCCTGTGGAAACAAGCCTTCTTCGGGTCCTCACCCCTGCCGCTTTTTCAAGCTTTCATGGGACCAGATCAGCCACCCACCTTCTCCCCCGTGAGCGTGACCATGTCCAACGGGCCATACATGAACCTCCCGTTTAACACCTGGGGCCGTTCTTCATTGGCTATGGTGTCATTGATCCTGTGATTGGCGGTGACGTTCTGCGAAAAGAAGAGAAGAAGCAAACGTCGCCGTTTGGGATTCCCATCGATTCCCACCATGGCAGACGGACAATTTTATACTGGTAGTTTACGTCTGATTTTGTATGCTCCACGTCTTCCACGCATGCACAACTCTCGACTCTGCCTGGTTTGCTGGTTGACGCAGGGTGATCAATGAGTCTGGATGGCCATTAATCATTTTTGGGCACGGAGCTTTATTTAAATTGAAGCGGGGAGCTTTTTCCTGCCTGGCTGAGTGGATGCATTGATTTAAATTTACTTTTTAATTCAACTCTCAGGGTGGCTGTCAGCCCCCCGGTTCACCTCACTGACAAATATTGGATTATACAACAGGTTCTGCACGTTGCAACTCCATCTTGTACCCTTTTACTTATTTACTTGATCGTGGCCATCGTGTTCAAACTGTTTCATAAATTTTTTAAAAACTCACAAAACTTCAGTAATGATCAAGGATCACACACTGTTCCCCTCGACTGTCAGAATTGGGCTTCTCTGGCAATGAAGAATTCAAGATTTCTCCCCTCTTGGCTTTGCGGGCTGCTTTTTTGTCAGGTTTTCACAGTACCCCAAAATTGAAATGAATCTGCGTTGAATTTATATAAATTAAATATTTCATCTTTGTCTCTTTGCTCGGTAGGAAAATCAAGAATTAACGGTAATCTAGCAAAAGAGCTTTAATTGGATATAGCTAGTTTTTTAAAAGGCACCCCATTACACATTATATTATATTATAATCTCTTTCATTCATTAAACATGAAACTCAGTTATCAACCAAGTATCTTCTTAAAATGTATGAAGTTCGAGTAGCGCAGTTTTTTGCAGTTCCGCTGGTGTTATTGCAGCAAACTGCAATTTCTTGATGTGATATTATTATTAATCTGCGCAGTCAGCCAGTTATGATTATTATTATTATTGATTCTCGCTGAATCAATGGTACCACTCTCGCCCAGATTCTTAACACAAAGTTGTAATTTGGGGCTTTATCCTCCTCTGTGTCCCGGCCATCCCAATTTGGAACGCTGACCGATGGGGGTGATTAATGCAACCTACCCGTAGCTTGACATGAGTCCGTTTACGAAGCCATTTCTCCCTGGGTTTGGAAGGCGTGAAGACGGAGATCTCTTTCCCGTCCACTTCAAGAATGCTGCCGTTTTCATGCCGCATCACCTGAAAGATGAAACGGGGTTTGCCCGCGCTGAGGTGCCACTTCTGATGAATGGGCTCTCACCTTGGCACGACCCACAAAGACACAAAGCCCGGTTTACAAATGGACAAGGAGTCCAGACCCCACACTTAAGTCCATGATGGGCAACGGTTTGCTAGCAGAGGGATGGGAACAGCGGTGCGATTCAGCTGGTGTAACAACCGGTTCAGTGAGCGTGCGTACCCACAGCATTTAGAAAAGGCCATTTTTAGCTATAATATTTAACTTCTGCTGCATCCTGGTGAGTAAAACAGCTGATGCACGGCAAACCACTCTGCCGCGCGAATCAGCTATGCTCAAAAACAAGGAAATAAAGCACAGGAAAAGGGCAGGGACGAGGCCAAATGAATCACTGGAACTACCGGCTCGCTCAAACCGGTCCAAACCAGTAGAATCCCATCCCAAAGATATTGGCAGGAGGGTTCTCACCTGTCTAAGGAGGAAGGAGACCACGTCTGTGGATTCCCAGTAGCTGGCATGAAAGAGGTGTGGTAAGGCAACTGTGGGGAAGGCGGTCAGCGCATCCGGACAGTAGAGAGCATAGTCAATCCTTTTGGTTCCCCACCACTTGGCTGCAACTGAGAGAAGAAAGAAATCCCGTTGGGTTTCTGCAAAGCATCCTTCCATCTCCATCAACTCCCAACACCGTAGACCATCCAGGAGAAGGCCCAGTAAACTCCCCTGGTTTGTCCACATCAGCCCTATGAAATGTTTGGCCATGGCTTTTCTCGGACCATGGAAGGTTCAGGAGGAGCTGTCTCACACACACACACGGAAAAGTCATCAGATTGGCCTTCCTTGCGGCTTTGATTTTTGAGAACACACCTTGAGGAGCCTATTTCTGAATCTTACAACAGGATAGCCAAAATTCGACCCTCAAAGAAAGGACAGAGAGAGGCTAGTCTGGATAAGAAAGCTCCCACCTGTTGTTCAGTGTTATCATTCTTGGAAATTGAAATGGACAGGGTCAAAGACTGGCCTGTAAGCAGAATTCCTAGATTTGACGTCCAGAAAAATAAGCTAGCTCGGTCAATTAATTTCTAAATCAAATTTATGTAGCCTCGATCTCACAAGAAGTGACTTTCCTGGGCTTCATTCAATTCCTTCTTTTAATTCTGCTCTTAATTCCAGGAAAAAGTCCACTTCTGAGATGATGATAATAGACAAAGACACTCAAATATGGAGTGGGACCACGTATGGCCGAGCTCTCAATGTCCAAATTGACAGTTGGGAAAGCAAAGCGGGAGCTTCCAAGCCAAACTACTTCTGCTTTTTCAGGCTCGCAAAATATTTAAGGAATTCTCCAAAGCAGAGCAGTCAAGAACCAGCCTTTTCTTCTCAAGAAACAACTCAAGAGGACAAGCTAATCGGAGGAGACGTGCAAGTGTAGAACGTTAAGATGAATCGGAATGAGCTTGACTCTCTATGATGGGCTGTTAGTAGCGTGTTTGGTTAATCTCCAGAACGAGAGTAAAAAGGGTGGTTTGTTAAATAGACAGCAAGATTTGAGGAAGACCTCCCGTGAAGAAGATTTCTGGGTTCTGGAGACAGCGAAAGAAGAGATAAGCAATTGCTCCGTTTTGATCCCATTCTCCTCGCTCTCCAGAATACCTTTGTGGACATCAAGATCTGGAATCAGGCGAACGGTCTCCGTTTCCCTGTGGAGGGAGTTTTCAAACCTTCGTCTTGAAGGATTCGGGGATCTTTCGGGCTTGAGCCTCCCAGTCCTCTGGGGGAAGGACTGGATGTGAGGTTTGTGGGGAAGCGCTAGGAGAGCCAGAAGGCTAAACCCTCTGGAGTGGTTGAGATGATGTTTTTTATCTAAAAGGAATCACATTTTCGAAGAGAGAGAGAAAGAGAGACGGAGAAAGACAACACAAAAATAAAACACAACTTTTGTTAAACCACATGGGGGACCATGCAAAAAAAAATAATGCACCATAGATTTTTGACCTATGGGAGATGTAGAATGCGTTCAACCATATGTCAGATGAGTTAAAAGTCAACCATGCCTTTGGCTTCAGAGTTGGGAATTTGCGATCTTGGCTTTAGCTGATGCATCACAGCAGGAGGTTGAAAAGGGAAGCAACTTTTGAAAGCTACGACTTCTTAACAAGGGTTGTGCTTTGTTCTTTGGGGTTTCAGGAATTATGGGAGGGTAAGAAAGCAGAGCTGAAAAACTCTGATGGCCAATGGTGCAGTGAGTTGGAGATGACATTCTCTGAACCTGGAACAAAAAATGGACATTTTCACGTCTTACTTCTTGCGATATGGCTGTGTTTCTCAACCTTGGCACACTCTAAGAGGTGTGGTGGACCTCAACTCCTAGCGTTGGAAGTCCACCCATCTTAGAGTATCAAGCTTGAGAAACACTGCAGTACAAACTCTGCATTTGGAAGGAGTTTGCTGTTTTGACCGTGAGGGACAAGGCATCCATTTTGGGTGCTAACCACTCTTCTGCCCTTTCCTTCTTTTGCAATATCTTGAAAAGCTCCATATTTATTCCCAGGCTCGGAGAACTTTGGAGAGAAGCAGTAGAAGGCATCAGCCGATCTTCACAGCGGGTTGAGAGAACTAAGCACGGGGAAAGCTCATTTCCCTGGGGAAAAACACTTACTGTTGGCTATGTTGGAAGCAGTGTAACTGTCTGCCATTCCGGACACCTGGCTGACAGTGCTCACTTCACTTGCTCTCCGGAAGGTTCTGAACTGTGGGGCGGAAACGGGAGCAGACGGGGACGTGTTTTCCACCAAGACGCCACCATGAGACTGAACAACATCTGCTACAGGGACGAAACGGGGAAATCGGGAATATTAAACCCAACCACAAACACACAAAGACAACCAGGATGCCATAACTACGTCAAGAAATTGTTTTTTTTTAAAAAAAAGAAAGAAAAAGCAGGCACATATACAAACATTAGGCTGGATGCCACCATGGTAGACATCCGGTCAAAGCTCTCAGAACCAACACCACAGAAGAAGCTTTGGTAGGGAAGCACCAAGGCAAAACGTTAGATGGACGCAATGGTGAAAGCATCAAAACAGGATCTCCACAGCCATGGAAACCAACAGAAGAGAAGCTTGACAAGTCTTCTTTAGAAGGAAACAGAAACATCTAAGAATTCCACCTGGGTGCTGGGATGGCTCATACCCAACAGGCACAGTTTGTGGAGAGCAGGACTTTCTCAACTATGGCAACATTAAGATAGGTGGACTTCCACTCCCAGAATTCTAAGAGATGAAGTCCCCATATCTTAAGGTTGCCAGGGCAGGCTGGGGAATTCTGGGAGTTGAAGTCCACGCATCGTAAGGTCACCATGCCGGTTAGAGAATTCTGGGAGATGCGTCCATACATCTTAAGGTTGCCATGCTGGCTGGGGAATTCTGGGAGTTGAAGTCCACCTATCTTCAAGTTGCCAAGGTTGACAAACCCTGCTCTGGTGGGCCTTCACAAGTTGGTTCCAAATCTGAATGGGAGGGAGGCATTTCTGATCCTTCCTGAAGTCCCTCGCTGGGGTTGGAGGAGAGAGAGAGAGAGAGAGAGAGAGAGAGAGCCAGGCAACCCAAATAAAGCCCCCAAACTCAAACAAGCCACCCACAAGCTCACAAATATGCCATGCAGGAGAGCTGATGGGACAGGGGAGGTCGTGAAAGCTTTCCCAAGGGAGCAAGAAACATTCTCAATTGCAGCCTTTGCCCCCCCAAAAATTTAAGTAGGTTTGGAGGCAGCCCCCGCAAAAATAAATGCGAGCGCGTCTTTTCCTGGCCACATCAACCAAACCGAAATAACCCAAAGAACTCAACTTGACCATTCTTTGAGCTCTGGAGAAGGTGGCACTCTGTTCCTAGAACTTCCACAATTCCATGCCCAATGTCATCATCCCGAGTTACATCCCACTGAAATACCGCCCAATGTTGGCTTCTAAGCAGACGTTGCTGCAGCTTTTCCCTGAACCCTGGCACCTTCCAGATGTTCTGGGCTACTGTCCTCTCAGCCAACACAGCCAACATTCTGGTTCCTGATGGCGGGGACGGTAGCTCAGCATATCTGGAGAGTCCCAGCTTTGAGAAAAATGGTTGAAACGACACGGGAAACGTTCATCTATAGAAGAAGATTGTAAAAGATATCGATATTGATTTGTGGGATTTATATCTCCGGCAATGCAAAGTTTCTTCTCAGGGACAGAAACTTCTCCACCTTCTCAAATGTTTGCCAATTCTTGGTGTAGGTAACCCAGCAGGAAATACCCGAAGGCCATTCTCAATTTTGGTTTCCCCTCGCTGCCTCGTTCGTTCGCTCATCCCTCCTGTTTTCCTCCAGCACAGCTGGGACATTCTCCGTGGGCCTGTCTTCTACGAAAGACTGGAAAAGCTTTCAGGATGGGAGGTTCCAGCATTTAGCCACCACTCCGAAAACACCACACAAGAACAAACGGGGGGTGGGAAAAGGTTCAGATCACACACACTCAGCAAATCCGGAAGTTTTATTGGACACGTCTTGCCAGTTCAAGGTAGGGACAGGGATACTGGTTTCCATGAAGTTGTCCTGGTTCTGGAAAGCAGCCAGAAGGTTGCTTTCAATGAGGAGGGCGGGGTTGTTCTGGACTGCTTCCACTAGAACAGACGGGGAAGAAAACAAAGAGGGGAACCAAGAAAATAAAAAAATAAAACAAAACAAGAAGACAAGAGACATGTGGCCACAAGCACTTGGAACAGGACGCTTACAACCAACGTCAACGCCATCTTCTACAAGAGTTTGGATGTTGGAAACAAAGCTTTGGTGGTAGACCATGGTGAGGCCTGAGCAGGTATAAAAGGCTGGTGGCCTAACGCCAAGAGGCAACAGCAGAATGGTGATGGACCATAATTGCTGTGGTGTTGATGTTCACATCCAGATTTGGAAGTCCAGTGGAGAGAACAACGTCAAGGAGTTATCCATCTTTGTCCACCTTGTTTGTTCTCCACTTGAAGTCAACCCAGCTTTTATACCTGTTCAGCGGTGATCTATAGTCCAAAACACAGATCTTCTCCTAATCACATTGTCCTGGACCCAAATAGCAGAAGTGGGGGCAGTTCATGGTCCCGTGGGCCCAGGGGCCTAAAACTAGGATTCAGGGATATACAGAATGCTTTCTTTTGTGGTTGGTACTTGTTTTTCCCCCCCCCGAAGTCCAAGATATGATTGTTTGGGTTGAGTTCCCACCCATCAATCCAATTTCATAAGTTTTTTCTGAAGTCCAAGATACGAACATTTCAGTTGAGTTCCCACCCATCTTTCAGAGGTTGGGTCTAATTATCAGGTTGGACCTTAAAGAAGTCTTGAGCAGATGGAAAGTGGATTTTAGCTAAGAGCAAAGATTTTAAAAGTCCAGGAGCTTCTACACACCCGTAGGGAGAATGCTAATATTCTGCCATCCCTGTTCATCAGACATCTGTGTTTGCTTGTTAGCCCAAGATTCAATATTTGATCACCACTGTGCTGGAGAACATTTCAAAAGCAAATCCCACAGAGATTCCCCACGGGACGTAAGCTTGACAGCAATTATTTCCTGATGGCTGACTCCGAATAGTGTGTCCTTCCCATGAAAAAAGGATCTATGACAGCTGGAGACAAGGGTGACTCTACAACGAGGATGAAAACCCTAGGAAAACGCCATTGCTTGTGTCCCACAGAAAATAAGAGTCTGGGACTCATGTATCTCGTCAACCTTGGATTTGATTTTCTCCAAATCTCCAGCTTCACCAGGGACTTAAGGAAATCTAGAAGTGCAATTCACTTCTTCCCTAGCCTAGAAGACAATATGTGGACCTCAGCTTCCCGAGGAACATCTTGACCGTGTCTCGACTTCTTCTCGCTGGCACGAGACACCTCAGGAATTTAAAGCAGGTGCCACCCACCCCATCACCTGCTCACTTATAAGGTAGAAATGGGCGGGGGGGGGAGAGGAGGGATGAACTTACCCAGAAGGGCTGAATTGCCATCCCCAAGAGGGAACCGCTGGTAACGTGGGATGTTGAAGGGAGGTAAAATATGGAACTTCTTCTCTAGAAGAGGCTCCAAGCGAGAGGCCGAAGGATCAGCTGGGTGGAAGAGGTTGTAGACTTGCTGACAGGCTGGTCTCAACTGGAAGACTAAGTCATGGAGAGAAGAGAAAGAGTTGGCCAAGGGGGAAGGATACCGAAACCGTCAACCGCAGTTCTGCCAACTCACGGACAACTCTTTTCATTGGCTCTACAGTTCTTCCAGATAGTTAAAAATCAACGGGTTACATCTTCAGAACAGAAATTGAAGGAATATTCGGAGAAGATGCTCTTTCTTAAACCCTGTTGGGTCTCAGTGCTCATTAGGCAACCCCAAAACAATTTTGTCACCTGTGTTTTTATGAAACAAGCAGGTGCTCACAGGAGCAGAGAGAATTGGGATTTTAAAGAGGAGTCACCCCAGATTTTATTGTGAGGGCATGGCTAAATAACGGCTTATAATTATGTAATTGATCACGTGATGTATTATACAAATCGTATCATACGTATATTAAAAAGCATCATGTCTTCTTTCTTGACCGCGTGTCTTTTAAAGAACCGTTAAAAGAAAAACCAGCAGGCTATTTCCAAGCTCATTTATCTCGTTTATCAATCTGCTTGTAAAAATATTTCGAAGGGTTGCAAAATTTACTCTAGGTGTTGCACCGGTCTAGGTGAGATGATTTTACAGCAATCTGTGCAACCCTGAATTGTTATCCCGGCCAGGAAGAACTCTGAAAAGGTGCTCATATTTGGCCTCGGGACTAATTTTAGCCTTCCAATTTTGCATCTCCGCTCGCAAGAGTTGTGAAAAGGAAGAGGAGGCTTCGGAAGGTCTCCATCCCCAGCAGGAAACGTACTGTCAAGAGTTGGTATGATGGTTTTTCTTAAGGCAAGGACCAGCCCCAGGGGACAGCCAAAGAGGAAGAAGTCGGTGATCTCAAATTCAAACTTCCCAAGATTCCCACCGTCCAACTGAGTGGAGCCACTCGATCGCCGTGAACCTGGAAAGTTCTTCAGAGCGCTAGAGTGTAAACTAAGAGAAGGGGAAAAAAGAGGGAACGTCACCAGCCAAAGGTACCCAGAAAGCAGGTTTTCCAATGGAACAATCAGGAAAATGTTATTTATTTAACAAATGCATTTATACATCATGCTCCAGTTGACAAGACATGCAATTTTCCTGTGGGAAATACCCCCCAAAATTCCTATGAGCACTGTGGAACTTTCTAGAGGTCCTCCTTGACTCACGACTGGTCCCAAAGGTATTTTTTTTGCAAAAGGCAGCCGGACTTCCTTCTTTATTTGGGGGGATTTCACTTCTCACTCAAGAAGCGTCTCCAATTCTGCGCCTTTGGGGCCACCGTGGCTTGCATGCTTGAGAATTTACTACCCTCGACTCACCACAATTCAGACTTATGCCATTAAAACTTTTGACTGTCATGGGCAGGTTCCATTCCAGTCAAAACTTGAGGACTAGTCACTTGAAGCAGCAGAATAATGAAGTAGCTGTTGATTTTTTGTGGCACGGTGGTGCCGGACATTAGACCCCAGGTGGAATTATTTTGATTGCAAAACTTAAAATTAAAAGAAGGGATTAGGCAAAGCTCTGCTCGCTTCTCTCATTACTTTTTGATCGTTTTATTTATATTCGTTGTTCCTCACTGATATTGACCTCTTGACTCAGCAGCTCTTGACAAAATGCCACAGGTAAGGGATAAAAATATAGATATCGGCTGAAATGTTTTCAAAGATAACCCCTGAAACCAGGTTTAATTTTCAAGCCATGATATTTGAACAAAACACGTTCAAATGTCTGTTTGCTTCCTCTTTTCTATAACTGGAGAAGAACATCTACAGAACGTTTCAGCCATTCTTGGTCCAATAAATCACTTTATCCTCCAAGCTGAAGAACTCACAGGTAGTCCTCGACTTACGACTGCAATTGACCCCAAAATTTATGTTGCCGAGGGAGGAATTCGTTAAGTGAGATTTGCCCTCCTTTTACAACTTTTCTTGCCCCCTTTGTGAAGTGAATCCCTGCAGTGGTTTGAATGAGGGATACGGTCATTGAGTGAATCTGGACCTTCACGTGGACTTTGTCAGAAGGTCGCAAAAGGGGATCCTGTGACACTGCAACCGTCGTAGGTACGTGCCAGTTGCTAAGCCTCTGAATTTGGCTCACATGACCACGGAGATGCTAAAAGGGTCCTCCTACGTGTGGAAAAACAGTCCTAAGTCCCTTTTTTCAGCGGGGCTGTAACTTTGAACAGTCACTAAATGAACCCTGGTAAGTCAAGGACTACCTTTAGTGCAAGATGGAAAGAACTGGTCCACAATGTCGCCAAGAGATGGACATAATAACACCACCAACATCATCTCTGAGCAATTCCATGCCACAAAGGCAAGACTTTTCATCAGTCTCTCTCTCTCTCTCTCTCTCTCTCTCTCTCTCTCGCACACACACACACACACACACACACACACACACACTTGATCAAAGGGGATTTATGGCTAAAAGAATCGCCTCCCCTTAGATTTACAATCAAGAGATTTCTTGACAGGGGGCCGCCCTCCCACCACCACCGTGTCGTCCCCCCGCCATTCTCGATTTCTCCATGGTACACAAAGCAGGCGAATGCAGCTTACCTATTTCTTCCTCAAGGAAGTTGTTGGGGGCAAGAAGGGTTGGTTAAAAGGTGGGGTTTAAGAGAAAAGAAACAAGAGAGAAGAAATAAGAGAGGGAAGTGAAAGAGAGGAAGGCAATCTCGACAGCTCGCGCACGACCGTAATTTACGTATTTATTTCTCAAATCCGGAGGCCGCCCATTCTTACTCCCAAGGTAACTCTGGGCAGCTTGCAGTCACGAAAGATCAAAACTGTATAAACATAAACAATTACGTTTAGCCCCGTCTTAAAAACGAGGTTCTCGTAATTGTTAGGTACCCTGTCTGAGTGGCGGGTTGGACTAGCTCTGCTGGCAGGGGAATTCTGGGAGTTGAAGTCCACAAGTCTTACAGTGGCCAAGGTTGGAGACCCCTGGCCTAGAAGACCTCCAAGGTCTCTTCTAACTCTGTTATTCTGTTCTCACCTGTATGAGGTGAGCCATCCTTGGTCACTCAGGTGAGCCATCCTTGGTCACTCAGAGGCACTAGTACATAAGCTAATTCTAACTTTATTGTGAAGCTGCACTAATAGAATCTTGCAAGTCTGAAAGGACAATTTCCCCTTGCCAAGGTTGGAGACCTCTGCTCTACAGCTTCTCTCTGCCCAACCCTAAACATCTCTGCTCTTCATGGTTGAACTGGCCAAACATCAGATCTCTTCTGACCAGGTGGGGCTTCTCTCTTGTAAAAAGACTTCGACTTTCTGTGCAATTTCCACCATCCAGCATTGTTTGCCGGGTGATCTACAGAGCTGGAGAGGCCCGTTAATCACAAGGAAGGACTTTCAAAACAAAGAAGTCATACTTTTCCTTTTCCTCCTCCGAGGCTGAAGGAAGAACACAGCCCTCCACATTATTTAGTGCAAGGAGTACAACAAAAGCTGCCAGATCCGATAAATCTTCGGAAATAATGCCGAGATAATTTTCCTACTGATGGGAAACTTGCTCGATAAAATCGATGGCGGCACGATAGAGCGAGCGAGGATACTTCTCAGCTTGGGACAACCTGCAAGTCAATTCCCGGGCGGCTCATTTCAAAGAGGGGGAGTGGGGGTGGGGGATCCATTGATCAAGGCTGGAGGACGCCAAGGAAACTTCAGTTCAAGGCCCCCACAGAACTCTTCTCAGCGATCGGAGCCAGTTCCCTCACTTATCTCAACATCGCCTACCTCATCGCAGGGTTGATCTTGCTAGGATAATATTAGGGGAGAACTGGCACCCCCAGAAAACTGAGGGGTCTTGAGGGGGTCTCTGAGTTTAATGGTTCTCTTGCAGACATTCTAGCACTGATGATGTTGCCTAGTTGGGCCGTGAAACATCTGCAAGAAAACCGCCAAGTGGCAGCTCGAGAGCAGGCCAGGGAGCACCAAGAACTCTACAGTCCTCCTCCTCCTCCTCCTCCTCCTCCTTTCTCTTCCCCCTCTTCTCTGCAATCTCCACTCCCTTCTAGCACTGATATTGCCTAGTTGGGTCATGAAACGTCTGCAAGAAAACCACCCAAGCTCAGAGATCACCAAGGACTCCTTCCTTCCTTCCTTCCTTCCTTCCTTCCTTCCTTCCTTCCTTCCTTCCTTCCTTCCTTCCTTCCTTCCTTCCTTCCTTCCTTCCTCCCTCCCTCCCTCCCTCCCTCCCTCCCTCCCTGATAATATTCCCTAGTTGGGTGATGAAACGTCCTGCAAGAAAACCACCCAAGCTCAGAGAGCACCAAGGACTCCACAGTTCAACCCCGAGCTACAAATCTCTCCCCAAGAAAAACGTGGCATCCAACCGGGGCAACCTCTCCGGCTCTGCAAAAGCTACCTGGACAGGAACGCCTGGTGCTGCTTCAAGGTGTCCAGCTCGTAGGTGGAGGAATCGCTCCTTTTCCGCAGCAGCTGCTGTTTCTGGGGATCTTCCTCGTTGCTGCGTGGCAGGTCGGCCGTGCTCCGGCTGAGATGCCGGCTGGCTTCCAACCCACAGCCTTCGGAGCAGTAGCTGTTGTTCACCAGGATGCCAGGAGACAGGAGGTCCATGTCCTGGAATTGGAAGGACACAGTTTCTGTAAGCAACACCAGAATGTTTCCTTCCTGCCTTCCTTACAGGATTAGCCCAGTAATTTCTTCTAACAACCGGTTCTCCGAACTGCTTCGAATGTTAACAACCGGTTCTAGCGAATTGGTGCGAACTGGTAGAATCCCACCCCTGGGTCTGTGCATGGCCTGACCGCCAGCTTGAGAGGTGGCGGCTAGACCGGCTGACCCCCTTGCTTGTTGGCTTTGCACTCAGCAAGCAATCCAACTATTTCTGTGGCTGCTGTGGTTTTAACGGCCAGCCCAGAGGGGAGAAAGTGAGGTTGCAAAGATAACTGGCACTTGCCAAGCATTTGAATCCCCGTGGAAGGATGCTCAACGATTCCCACCCCTAACCATTGTTTATCTCCACCCTGTAGTAGATGGGTTCCTTCCTGAGCTAATCTTGATTAATTGCAATCTTCATATTTATCACCATCTCCTTTTAATGACCCCATAATCCCTTGCAGGGTGGAGTTTGGGCAGCTGAATGGAGCTGAGTGTTTACTGGCCGGATGCCTTTCCTGTCACCGATGAGGAGTTTTGTTCAGCAGATATATTCTCCAGCACGACGAATGGAGAATCCACGGATGGGTTGACACGTACCTTTCTGGCCTGAGACTGAGTCCACAATCTTTGCCACACCCCTGTCAACTGTCACCTTTTCCTCAGTTAACGACTCAAGTCTTGCCCTAGGAGGTTGTGGCAAAGATTGACTCTCAGATCTCCGATCAGAAGCATGGAGGCTTGAACTCACAGCCTCCTGATTGTGAAGCGAGAATTCTACCTCTAGGCTACCGCACCACTCCATCTTCATATTTATCCTATTAGTATTTTAGGGGTTGTATACCAGGGGTCTCCAAACTTGGCTACTTTTAAGACCCGTGGACTTCAACTCCCACAATTCCTCAGCCAGCATAGGCTTCCCATAGAATTCTGGGAGTTGAAGTCCACAAGCCTTAAAGTTACCATGTTTGAAACCTCTAGTTTTTTATTTTTTATTTTATATGATCATTTTAATCTTGTAGCAAGCCATCTACAGTCCCTTGACCGTGAGATCGGTGCCCTATAAATTTAATAAATAAACAGGTGAGCTAAGCAGGTTTACGAAACTCAGCGCTGGCCTTGCACAGGTGAAATGGGAGAGTTACAGCGAGAAGGAATCATGGAGAATTATGCCTTCTGGAATTGTTATTTCAGTGTCGATCTCAGAGTCCGTCCAGTTTCCAGAGAGCGTAACGTGTCTGTGATTCCTTCTCTGTGTAATTTCCAAAGGATCAGGGCCATGACAAAGGAACAGCCAGGGTCGGGGACAAAACTAAACCCAAGATAAATAGAACCCAAATCCGTGAATATTGTCGCTTACCATGCGTTGCACTGAACGTCATAATTCAGCGGCCATATTCATGTTGGCCCTGAGGTCCCCAAACGGGGTTTTGAGGGTCCCGGATTACGCATCAATCTGGCTTGATTCCTTTCTGTCCAGAACCAACTCGAGAGATTGCGTACCTGCACGCTGATGACGCTTCCACGCCGGCTACTGTTCTGACTCTCTGTCATCGTCTGGTTGCTATAACAAAGGGCGTCGAAGGCCAGGATCCCTCCCACGCAGTCCCCGATCAGGCAGACCTGACGAAAACAAAACCCATACCTGGTTGCAGAGAACGAAAGGGCTTGTCTAGCAGTGGTGGATGTCAACTCCCAGAATTCCACTGCCAGCACGATCGTGGAGGGGACTTCTGGGAATTGAAGAAAAGCCTGAGGTCGGGAATATGGGACCGACTTTCCCACCAAGGTCAGCAAGCCACCCCGGGGCGGATTTCTCTTCCCCGCCGTTGGTCTTACCTTCCAGTTCTAGCTCGCGTGGCTCTATGCAAGGTAAGGTTTGCGCTTGGCCGAAGGGTGGGGCCAGCGGGTGGGCGGGCCATGTGGGCGGCGCAGCCTTGTGTTCCTGCGCAGCCTGGATTAATTGCTTTGGGGGGGGGGACATTTCTCTGTGGACCCCCAAAATTTTCTCGTGGACCACCAGTGGTCCCCGGCCCACCGGTTCTGCAGATTGACTCCTTTCAATAATTGGGAATTATTTAATAAGCCGACAAACTTATTATCGATTTTTTGGGGGGTCTTAAATCGACCCTCATTCAACGACCTGTTTTGATGAGTTTCCGCCAGCCGGGAAAAAGGCCAGCTGGCTTAGCTCTTAACGATGGAGGCCCACCTCCTACTCACCTGGCCGTTGAAGGATGCCCCTTCTTGGGACCTGATGAAGTCGCTGTACACCTGATTGGCTCTCAGGATCACTGTGGCAACCGCCTCTTGGTACTGCGGGGAGGACGTAGCCAGGAGAGGAAGCGCGGCGAGTGGGATGTGATCCTGGCTACTGCAAAGGCAGCCTTCATCGTAGCTGTAGGGGCTGAGGCTACAGAGAGGAGGAAGAGGAGGAATGTCAATCAAAGCACTTCCCTTTCGAGGAAAAATACCAACTGGATAGAGGATGTCCTTGGCTCACCACCCTTCATCATTCATTCAAAGCTACAATAGATTGAAAAAAAAAAAGTGACATGACCAATCCTCGCACTTATGACAGTCCCCATGGTCGTGCAATTAGAATTCAAGCATTTGGCGACTGGCATGGATTTATGAGGGTCTCGGGGTCATGTGAGACCTTCCCAGCTGGCTTCCAGACAAGCCGAGTCCATGAGAGAAGTTGGATTCACTTAATGAGAGTACGGCTCACTTTTCCTCTGCGGTGATGTGTGCTTAAGAAGGAGAGCGCCGAAAGGGCCGATCGAGCTCAACTCCCTTAACAGAGGTTCCAGTCCCAATATGGTTGTAAGCTGAGGACTAGTTAAATTTTTCGAGGCCCAGTCATTTTCCTGAAAATAGTCTTGTTTTCCTCTAGACGAGAAGGCAACCTGCCCAGAATTTGGGGGTAAATTTTGGGTGCCGGGTGGTAAATTGCAAATAAATCAGTCTCTGAGCTACCTTATCCCTTCTTCCTTATCTAAGGGGAAATTCCCAACGCTCTCTCTGAAATGCAGCCATCAGGGGCTTTGGCTATGATTCAGGCCTGCGAGAGAAGGCTCTCGCCAGCGGCCGCGCCCCTGGGAAGGAGAACCTAGTGGCTTTTATAAAGGGGTTGGAGTCTGAACACGGAGGAAGCGCTGGCAGGAGAGGAGAAGACGAGCCCCGCGAATGATAAATGAGCGAAGAAATAAATGGGCTCGGAGCGATGATGGCTCCAGGCTGAGCCGAGCCCGGGTGAGTCATCTTGCCAGGGTGAAGTACAGCTCCCTTGGGAATGAGGGAATTGATGAGGTGCGTCTGTAGATGGAAGGGAAGGAGGGAAGGGAGGAAGGAAGGAGAGGAAGGAGAGGAAACGAGAGAGGAGGGGAGATGGAAGGACAAAAGAGAGAGAGGGAGGGAGGGGGAGAAGGAGGAGAAAGGAAGAAAGGAAGGACAAATGAGAGGAGGGAGGGAGGAAGGACAAAAGGGAGGGAGAGAGGGAGGGGGAGAAGGGAGGGAGGAAGAAAGGAAGGAAGGACAAACGAGAGGGAAAGAAGGAAGGAAGGAAGGAAGGACAAAAGCGAGTGAAGGGAGAGAGGTTTCTCTACCTCTGGATATTTTTAAGAGGCTGGACAACCATCTGTTTTAAGGAAGGTTTATTTGGTTTGGATGCAGCTTGCAGAAGATCAAATTTCCAATCCTGCACGAGGAAAGGAAAGGAGAAAGGAAAGATGGATGGAGAGGCAAGCAGGCAGGCAGAGACAGGCAGACACAGCAGATATATAGCTGGATGAAGATGGCTTAATGGTGGTGGAGACTTGGTCATGCCCCAATCAGGGCTTAAGGAGGCCTCCCTCCCGGTCCCATGCATGCAGCCATCAAAAGCAAAGCCAGATGTGAGGTCCACAGCTGGCACCTCGATCCACTAACGACACAAGCGGGAGACTGAGTTCCACACCAGGACACTCTTGGGAAGCAGCCTTATGGCCCCTTCCCTAAACCCTTATCCCATCTTCCCGAAAGCCAAGTGGCCGCTCACTTGGAGACCAGCGAAAACGCTTCTGAGCAGATGGCCGGACAAGGGACCAGCTTGATGGCTATCCGGCCCAGGGTGGCCGGGTAATGGACCCTGATGACGGTATCGAAGGCGGTGGCGATGGTGTTGACGTCCCCCTGCTTGGAGCTCGGCTCCCCACTTCCCGTGTCAAGGATGTTGCCTCCGTGCAGGACCAAAAGGAGGACATGGATTTGGCTGGGCTGCGCCAGGGGAGGCGCCGCTTCATCCTGGAAAGAAGAGACCAGATTCAGATCAGGCAGATTCTCAAGGGCCTGTGGGAGGAGCAGGAAGTTTAGAGGGGTATGGACCAATCACCTGGAAGCCTTCAGATCCATAATGGCAAACCGATGGCATGCAGAGCCATTTGGGTGGGCACACGAGTCCCAGCCAAAATTATCGGCGCGCCTCCCAGCTGAATTGAGGTCCATTTGAGGCCGTTTTCGTCCTCCTGGAGGCTCGGGGGAAGCCTCTGCAGCCTTCGTAGGCCAAAAAATGGGCCTTCCGGAAATACTTTTTCGACCTCCCAAGGCTGCAAAGGCCTCCCTCGAGCCTCCAGGAGGACGAAAACGGCCACAAATGGGCCTCAAATCAGCTGGGAGGTGCATGCATGCACAGTGCAGGTAAGCGGCAGGATGCTGGTGTTGTGTGTACATGCACAGGGGCGGCAGGACGCATTGCATTGTGGGTGCCGGCACACCACAACAAAACGTGTGCCGTCACTGCTTCAGATTTTCTGGCCTGCTGGCTAGGCAGATCCCTTCTGCTGCGATGGAACCAAAAAGAAAAAAGAAATCTTGGGAGATGTCCCTATGGACACCTGGACACTATGGAAGGCTTAGGTGCCACAGGCGAGGAGACAGTACGTAAACACAAAGTAGGATCAGCTGGAAGGGCGACAAGAATAGATCTGAGTTCTTTCCTGGAACCTGTTCAGTTGTGTGTGTGTGTTTTATATTTTGTATCACTTCCAACTTCCCCTTGGCACATTGGCACCTTAATTGAACACTGTTGCCGCTATGTGTTTATTCTCCTTATAATTAGCCAGACGTGTTGCATAAAACTGGATCGGATTCCCGTAAAGCTCCCTGGGTTTTGCATGGAAACGATAGAAGGGACAGAATTGGACAGGTAATGTTCGATCGCTCGCTTAGCGAACGTTTGAAGTCATGACGGAATCTAGGAACTGGGCCTGGCTAGTCTAGGGAAGAGAAGGACCAGGGGAGACAGGAGAGCAGTCTTCCAGTATTTGAGGGGCTACCCCAGAGAGGAGGAGGAGGAAGGGGTCAAGCTATTCTCCAAAGCACCTGAAGGCCAGACAAGGAAGAATGGATGGAAACTGAACAAGGAGAGATTCAACCTGGAAATAAGGAGGAATTTTCTGCCAGTGAGAACAATCAACCTTTCTGGAACAGAAATTGTGGGAGCTTCATTCATCTCTGGAGGCTTTCAAGAAGAGATTGGATTGCCATCTGTCAGAAATGGTGTCGGGTCTCCTGCTTAGGCAGGGGGTTGGACTAGATGACCTACAAGGCCCCTTCCAACTCTGACTATCTGTTACCTGAATCCCCAAAGCTACTTAGGACCGCTCCAGAGTTACAGCTGCCCCACATCTTCCCCTGTGCCAGCGGTCTCCAACCTTGTCGACGTTAAGACTGGTGGACTTCAACTCCCAGAATTCCCCTGCCAGCCACGCCTGCTTTTTTCCTCTCTCTCTTAATCTCCAAAAGTGGAGAGAGATTGCAGAGGAAGGGATTGCGAGAGAGTCAAGCTATGCTGTCTGGAGAATTCTGCGAGTTGAAGTCCACCAGTCCTAAAGTGGCCAAGTTTGGGGACCCCTGCTCTGTACAGTCACCTGAACACATTTTTCTGATAACCAGATTGCATTTACGGCTGTCCACCGCGATTGCCTGGCTTTGATTTGCAACTGGGTTCCTCCATTTAATCCTGGTTTACAGGGGAAAAAAATACCCACTGGGGAAACTCGATCTACTTAATGACTGCCGCGTTCGCTTAATACTCTCCGCAAAAAAAAAACTCTCCTAAAATTGGTTATGCGTTGCCTCGACTTACGACTTGCAACGGTTTCGTGACCGTAATTCTGGGGCCCGCTTTGGATGAACAAAGAAAAAAAAAACCCAGCTGTTTTGGAGCCCATATCTCAAGCCTTATGGTCAGATCCCAGACGCAGGGTGCAGGATAGTTAAGTCTGTTTGCTCTTCTATATGAGCAGGGCACGGGTTCAAATGCTGTACCTCAATAATGCTTAGTCTTTCCACGCTGCATCCGACATGGAATCCCGCAGCCGATTCAAGAGTCGGCTCATCTGGAAAGGGGAAAAAAAAAAATGGGCGTGTAAACAGGATTTATTCTCCTGCCAGTGAGATAAATGTCAGGATTTAATCCGGAGAAAGATGACCCACTCCCAACACAGTCAATTTCTGGCTTTCTTGGGAAGAGTTAGGTCAAGGTCCTTCCTTCTCACTGTCGCTTTAGGGAAGAAGAGGTGACTCGCCACCGTTTCCACAACTCTTACGTTGCACAAAGCACTGCATTCATCCCTGAGGATTATGGCCGGGAGCCTCCATTTGTTCCCTAAATAGGCTACCTGGGACTTCATCCGTCTCTGCCGTTTCAATCTTATCCATGAGGTCGTTGGAACTCCATTTGGTAATCTCTTTGGGGAACACCTCTTCGTTCTCAGAGATATCCTCTAAGGAAGAGAGGAGGAGGAGGAGGAGGAAAGAGGAGGAGAAGGAGGAGGAGGAGGAGGAGGAGGAGGAGGAGGAGGAGGAGGAGAAGGAAAGAGGAGGGGAGGAAGAGGAGGGGAGAGATGGGGGAGGAGAGGAGAAGGAGG